CATTAGAAAAAGAAACAGCGCCCAAACTTAAGGGTTAGCATGTAGTCGTTCAGTCGTGGTCTTTGATTCATGGTCGCTGATTCGCATATGTGGTCGCTGATCTGCGAAATGTGGTCGCTGATTCTCATTATGTGGTCGCTGATTCGTGGTCGCTGATTCGTGGTGATTGATTCGGAGGGCTGGTCGCTGATTCGGAGTTTTCTCATGAGATGATCAGTGCCAAGACCAGGGAGCATGCTATCCAGACTCCAGCATTGCTCGCAATGTTCAAGATTAAGAGCAGTGTTGAATCCAACACGTGCCATCCTCGGGTGCTATGAAAATGCGGTGTCAGTGGCGATCTGGCAGGGACCTCTGGCTCAGGTGACAAAGGAACAGAGCGCCCATCTGTGAGTTTTGCCCCCAGAGGGGGCGTGATTCCGGTAGTAACATATTGTTAGTGAAGGACCTAGCGCAATTTGCTCTGCGTTTGAAATCTTGCCTGAATCCACCAGATTCACAAAAGCATAGCCGAGACAAGCTTGCGTCAGGAAGTCAATGGGAAGGTAGAGAAAGTCCTTGGATTCAGCCACAAAAATGTCACACGTGATTCAACGGGTTAGTAAAAGTTGAATAAAACATGATTTATCTGCATCGTTGCTGCATCGTGTTTCCCGTTAAGTATTTGCATCGTATCCACTTTTAGGGGTTTGATTTTGCCGAGTCAGCAGTTCCACTGGCATCTCTGGCATTTATCGAATATGGCACTCTCGACTATTGCTTTGTGGCATATTTTCCCAATGCATTTCTACAATGGGTCTTCAAAATCAAGGTAGGCCGCCCTACTATTGGACCCCATTGAAAAATCCCTGATTCCATAGATTTGTTGCCAAAATGCCCCAACCTCAACAACCCAAGATCCTTCAAGATCCTTCAAGATCCCCCAACCTCATCACTGTTCATCCTTATTCAATGCATATTCAATGCCACTACTAGCAAGTTCCCATCTTGAATCCTTTCTTTCAGGCATTTTCCTGTGATGCACCTTGGATGAACCTCATTTGACATGTGGATTTTTTTTCGAAACAGAGATGTTTTGTGGAAGCTTGGTATGTCATGGCTCCACAAGAGCAGATTTCTTCGGCCCTTGGGGTTGTCTGAATTCACAGAAGCGAAAAAACAGGCTCTGGCAACTTAGTGGAGGCATTGGTCATGTTTGCGCAACTTATGTTGGCTCACACTGACACGTTGGGAAGACTTAATTCAAACGCGGCACATACTGGCCGCGAAAGCCCAAGCTGTCAATAAGCTCCAACAGCATGTCCTCAGCAAAAATGCACTGGAGCTGAAATGCTCTGGCAGTATCGCTTTGGAAACAGATTTGGAGCTGGGTTGTCAGGCAGTCTAAAATACTTCTTCCACCCTCAAGAAGCAACTTCAGCATCTGTGATCCATAAGGGGCCCGAAAAATATCTACTTGTGATCCACTTGTTGAAGTCTGCCTGAAAACCCTGGCATTTGACATGCCAAATCATCCTGTCATGCCAGAACAGTCTCTGGAATAGTGGCTCTGTCTTGCAAAAAGCAAAAAGTGGCGCCAAGCATCTCGAGTGTAGTTGTTGGGTAAATTTCTCAACATAACCTCAAGTCGAGATTCTCGAAATTAGGAGTCGCCGGTGTAAGAATGGGAAGTCCGACTGGCAATCTGAAAACTCCATTCAATGAAGGAACAAAGTACTGCAAATTACTAGTGTATATTGCGGCATTTTGCTTAACTTTGAAACATCCAAAAGTGCAAAAAAAAACGAGTTCCCCGTCCCAATCATCAACACAACCTCTAAATTCAAGGCTTGTTTAAGACTTCTGCAAAATGCCTTGAAATATTTGAAGCCAGTTTTGGATCTTGATTTTCTTGGTGACGTCAGCAGCGCAAGAAAAGCCTCGTCAAAAGTTGGCTTGATAGAGAGCCACCCTGCAGCACCGCACCCTGCAACTGCACCCTCCACTGCCTTTCAAATTGAGTGACAGTTGTGCGACCCTCTGGATCAGGTACAAACGGTGCCTCAGTTCAAAATGTCACTAGCACCCTCAACGGCAAGATTGACAAGTGAAGTGAGGATCATGCGACTCCTCCCAATAAAATTCAAACATAGAAGATAGGATCATGCGACATGAGGCGAGGCACTGACCGGGGCCGTGCAAAGGTGAACCGCAAATTCATTTCTGTTTTGAATGTGGAGCGAAAATCAAAGCGTCGAACCCGGGAACGGATCTTGAAACCCACGTGTGCAAATTCAACGGCCGGTGAAGAAACGCTCGATTTAAAATACCGCACCAAAACCTTCTCCCACAATTTTATAGGTTGGGTTCTTGACAAACTGTGCCTCTCACTTCCGGTTCAATCGCATGGGATTAAAACTGGTGTACCGATGGCAGTGAAAAAAAGAGTCGCTGTATTTGCGCAAGCCCTGGCGCCGTTCGTGGCATCTCTGTGACACGTCATGAAAACTTGGGTTGGTTATTGGAAAAATAAAAATAAAAACCCTCAACCAGATTTTTAAAAAAATTGGTAGACACAGATTTGTTGCTTGTATTTTTTCAATTGCACCCCTTTACTTTTAGTATTCGGTGGTGTTGTTGGCCATGAAAACCCCCCCTAATAACAATATTTTCGGGCAAACAATATTTTCCTAATATGTGTTTTCCTCCATGCAGTATGCAATTTTACCTTTGATATTCGGCGGTACTTAGTTTTTTGTTCTTGTCGTCTTTATATTTCCTTGTCATGCCCTTCTTTCAAAAATGGTGTTCCTCATCGATGTTTTGTGTTTCTTCGTATTATTTTGAAGTAGTTCTTATCATGTTCTCTTCACTTTCTCTTCTTGTTCTTGTGTGTTCTTCCTCGTCACGGTCCTTTTTCCTTTTCTGATTCCTTTTCCAAGATTGACAAGGCCCCCAAACGGGGTTCCCCCCTTATCAATCAGACGCTAAGATGAATCCCCCTGGAAGTGTGTTCTCAGAAAATTACATTACATTACACTACATTACATGAATGCGCAGCAGCAAAACCTGATGTACAAGAATATAGAAATGACGTTGAGAGGCAGGCAAACTACAAACAAATCATACAAAATCATAAGAACACGGACCCAGGAAGATTCGAAGACTGAAATTTTGACCGGGAATGAGGATAATGAGGAGTGGTTGAAAGAACGCAAAAACAAGAAAAACAAGGATCAACGTTGCAAAACGCAGCATTCGTAAACAGTCCCTTCACAGAACAGTTTATGAACACGTTTGACCTGTTGTCTCGTTTGTCTCGTTTGTCTCGTTTGTCTCGTTTGTCTGTTTTGTCTCGTCTGTTTCTGCCTCCTTTGGCTCCACTTTTCCAACTCCTTGGATGAAATGTCTCATGCGGAGCAATTGCGAAAAACATTTTTTTGCTCTTGTCTGAAATTTGTCCGCGGCAGGGAAAAAATGATTATTTAGATCACGTTTGTTTGGGGATATGAAATGTTATGAAATGTTGCTTGGGAGCGACCAGTGTGTGAAAAAAGTGTCTCAACCACAACATCTCATGTCGAGGATCGTTTGACGCCAGAAGGTTGATTGGCTTTGGTTTTCGGCGAAACTTGCATTTTACCTTGGCAAATCTCACAAAAAAAAAATGTTGAACCGAAGGCAGCTTCTAAGTCAGAGTTGGCTCTGTTGAGTTTGTCCAAGTCGGAACCGCTCCGGACTCGACGCTCTGCCGAGTAACTGAGCTCAGGGTCCTGTCGCGGAAACAAGTCCCTTCGTTCACCGAGGACCATTAACACTTTATTACGATAAAAACAAGATGGACATGCACTCGTTTTTTTTTCGAACCGCTGGGAAAATGCAGGCATTGTTTCTTCGTTGTACACCCTGAGCACGTTCAGGTGGATCCAGTGGATTCCCGGAGGGGGAGAAAACTGTCTTTGCCAAAATTTGTTTGCAATGAATGTCCTTCTTTGCAATCATTGCTTAGAAGGACAGAAATATCGGGAGGAGATTTAAGAGTAAATCCATTTGCCAAATTAAACTATGAGGCCTCGATCAGAGCCAAACATTGAGTTGTTTGCCTTGATCAAACCAGGGCCATGGCAACAAAACCTGTTGCGAAGCGGCATAACCCCACAATTTCCAGGTTTTTAAGTGGAAAAAAACGAAGAAGAATCAACTGACTTGGCCTAACCCAGTTTGGAGTAGACCAATTTCACAAAACAACTGACGCACCGCATCACACTAGCAGTCACTCGCACGGTATCATGACTTCAACAGTACGAAAACACACACTCGTTCAGAGTATCATGTCGCATTGAACATTGGAATGAATCTATTGTGCAAAACAACAGCGAACATTAAGGACAGGAGGGCGAAAGAGAAGTGAGGCTGATCCTTCTGCTTCCGTCGAGGAATAAAAAATGAAATAACTAGTTGTCACCTTCATCCGTCCATTAGCATAACATTGAAATTGATTTCGTGATGAAAATTTTGTCGAACATAGATGCGGGCTGCAGAAACTATAGAAGAAAATTCGGTGCAGGGTTTCTCGGCTTAGCCTCATGCTACATCAGCAAACTTCAAAATTTCAAAAATAGCAGGAACGCTGGGCTGATCAGACCCCGTATCCCATGATTGTGGTAGCTTCGTTGGGTACGGTCCCGCAATTATGCCGCACGGTGCCGAAATTCAACATGAATAGCAATTAAAACTGAAATTTTACGTCTTTGCAGACGGTACACATGCATACACCCTGCCGCAGCGGGGTACTTTTTGGAAGACCACTTTTCGAGTCACACGGCTGATGGAATATATCGGGTTCTCAGCACGGTGAACCCCAAGCCCTCATTTGGATCTTCTTCAACCTGCTCGATCAGAACAGGTGGTAGCGGAGTCAGGCGAATCTGTCGCCATAGTTCGGCTTCTTCTAGAGCTATGTCTTGAAGGGCTCCCCCAATTCTACTTCCTGCCCTTCAGGGGTTGATCCCTCCGAGGACCAGCTGGAGCTGGAATCGTCATCCTCGGGGCCAGAGAGGCGGACTGGTTCTCCTCCAACCAACCCCAACTCATCCGGCTGGACGGGCCCTCTCACCTCGTCCCGGATCTCTGGCGGGAGCTGGACCAAGCGATCTCCTGAACCGCTCGACCCGTCCTCACCGCCAGAACCCCTCCTTCCTCGTTGGGCTCTCTGCCCTTCTCCTGATTCTGACTGCGCAGGGAGACTTCGGCTCGACGTGTCAGAGAGCCCCTTGGTCCTCCGTTCATAGACACCTCCTCCTACCTTCCACGCAGCTTGAACCAGTAAGGTGAGCAGCACGATCAAAATCGCAAATGCCACCATCATCATGTTGAACTCCTTGATTGATTCTGTTTCTTCTTCTTCATCCTCTTGTGACTTTCCAACTGAGATCATGGCAGCCATCGTCAACAGTTTCACTGCAAGGGCTGCCTGTGCAACCTTGATCTCAGCTCCATCTTTTCTGCTCTCGCTTGTTTCTTCTGTTGGACCTTCTTGGCCTGCTTCCTCTGAGATGCTGGGCTTTGAGGCCATGCCCAGCAAGGACTTCAGTTTCTCAAGCCTCACTGAAGTCAAAGCTTTCGTTCCGATGTCAGCGTTCAAATCTTCACCCGGTGAGTGGCTGACCTGCCAATCTCCTGTGAAAACTGCTTGTTTGGCGTAAGCAGCTCTCATTCGCAGGTGACGCGTTCTCCAGCTTCCAGACTCGCTCGTTAGGATCGCAATGGCAGACTGACTGTCTGACCAGGCAATTCTTTTGACTTCATCCAGCAGCTCCTGGAGAATCACTGAAACTGCTTCTCCAGCGTTCATCCCCTCGATCAGCTCATTCAGCTCAGCCTCTGCAGTGGAAAGCGTAATGGAAGGTTGCCTTCCAGAACGCCAGAAGAGGACACTTTGGTTCACCATCACAGTGAAACATCCGTGAGATTCTTCACCCTCTGGCGCAAACGACGCATCAGACCAAACCTGAATGGCTACCTCCTTCTCTTTTTCTTCTCCAAACTTCAAACCATGAGAAACTGTTCCTCGTAGATAATCTCTGGTCTGAGCTGCTGCTTCCAAAACCGCAGCAGTGGCCTTGGTGACATTAGCGCCCATTCGAGCGATGCTGAACATGAGGTCTGGTCGCGTTCTGGTGACCAGCCACAATAGCTCCCCCACTTCCTTCTGGCACTGGCGTACCTTCTGAAGTGAAGGTGGTTTTGGATCCTCCTCCATCGCAGCCAAATCTCTTGAGATCGGAACCTTTCTGATCTTCTGCTTCTTCTCATCTTTCTCCTGGTCATATCGCTCCAGGAGATCTTTCACATATGACTCCTGTGTGACGAACCAGTCATATCGCTGATTCTCATTCGACCAAACTTTCGCAACCTCCATGCCCAAAAACTTGATGGGATTCTCTGTGACCTCTTGTGGTTCTGTTGTGGTCCAGATGTCACGAAGAGCTCCAATGAGCGCCTCAGCAACGTCATCTTGGCCAGACACGAAGATATCATCTACATAGGTCATGACCAAGCCCAAGATTCGCCGAAATCTTGTAAATGTAAGGATTCCAACGATTGGTTAAAAAGAGCACGCCACTTAGCAGGATTTGGCGAAAAGCCTGTTGTGGGCGAGGCAATGGACATCCATTCCTTTAGGAATTTAACCACCATATCATACCCTACAATACATGATTCTGAAGCACCTTGGCGCTTCCCACCTTTCGTGAGTCCAAGGGAGACAACTACTTTGTTTTGATTTTTCTCACAGAAGAGATGTGCTCGTTTTAATCCCACCAATTCTCCTGTACGCAGCATAGCGTAATACGCGAGGAGAAGGGACACCGCGAAACTGAATTGGTTGTGGAAACATGCCCAGCCAACCATGGCTTGTAATACATGTTCTGGAAGGGGTGGGGCACGATTTGGGATCTCATTGAGACTCCATGTTTTTAACAGGCGCCAAGCGCCTGGCAAGTGACCACGAAGCTTGGCATCCTGATCTTGGAGCCCTGCGACAGTGTCGCTTGCGACCGCACGTCCATACCCATGCGACCACAGGTGCTCCAGGAAATCACACACCAAGGGGTCAAGGTGTTGCCGCTGCTTGGGTAAAGTGATCTTGTTCTGCTGGAGGTAACGTAGAAACCCATCCACTGCTTTCTGATATCGTTGCTTAGTGGCCGGCTGCACTGTGAGGTCCCGCAAACTACCTAATCGTTGTCTTTGTTGTGCTCTGTCCTGCTGCGTAGCTCCTTCAAGATGCCGTTTAGGCATGCCTGAACTTAGTTTTGATCTTTCTTCCCCAGCGGGACGGCTTGTCCGCTGGGTTTTGATCGGTGTGAACGTAGCCCCATAGGGCCGTGGTTGAGCTGCACAGCAACAAAGCATTGACACGCGACAACGATGATCTGAGTTTGCGGCTACTGGACCGGCCTCTGGTCAGAGCATGGAGGACCACGAGTGAGTCCACCAGATGGATAAACCGGCATCCAATTTGCTTCTTGTGACCAAGGCGCCACTTGAGCGTGGTTAGTACTGCCCGAAGTTCAAGGGAGTTAATATGCTCCCGACTTCCATTCCACTTCCATCCTGTGACTACCCTCCAGCGCCACAAGCGTGACGGTACAGAGGCACGGAGCCGATGAAACTTACACAGCTGACTGGATGGTGTGGTGAGCAATATATCCTCACCCTTTATGCTGACCATGTTGGCCAACTTCTGGACCAGGGAGGCCCCTGTTCCCTGGGGTCGCTCCCGGAGCGGCCGGAGAGGTCGTCGCCAGAGACGCGATTGCATGTAGATTTGGCCATCAGGAGTTAGTAAGTCCATTAACTCCTGGGGTGAATACCTTGGGCATAATCCCAACTGACCAAACAGCTGTGACATTAACCAGGCAACGACAGGAACAGACCAACTATTGCCAATCAATGAATGGCGCGCATCCAAATGACGCTGAGTATTCCGTTGTTGCTTGCCCATACATGCCCAGGTATACCCAATTGGGAAACCCATCATGAACTCCTTCTCCTCAATGGATGGCAGCCTGTGTTCATTGTGCTTGTTTACCATGGTGTTCCTGTTGGTATATTGATAAGGAGGATAGCGGTACTGGTCCTCCTGCCACCGTTGCAGCTCTTCAGTGGTGCACGTAGAGACACCCGCAGGCTTCCGGCCGGGGTGGGATCGCGGCCTTGACGTGGTAAATGTGGGAAATGAGCGGTCAGGATCGGCCTTGATCCATCCCTCTTGGCAAACATGATCCAAATTCTGATTGGCCATCAGAATCACCTCCATACGAGACCTGGTGCCCTCCAACTGGACTCCTGGACCTTCACGCAACTCCCAGGTGAGCCAGTACAGGCGTGGCCTGCTACACCATGTCATGGTACTGGCATCGCACTTCCACGGGTCGCTTCCAAAGGACTCTGACATAACCTTCCTGTCTGAAGCGTCCATCGACGCAACACTCTCCATGAGCCCGTGAACCTGACTCCAGGGAAAATGTTGCCTAACCAAGGCGAGGATGCGCTCCACATGGGTGAAGAGTTTGGATCGTTCATCCTTAAGTGCCCCTTTTCGCTCACTGTTGAGTCCACTGACTCCTTGACACGGAGGACCGCCTCCGATCAAAACTACTGAGGCTTGGGAGTAGGCCCGTCCCCACTCCCGGACCATCTTGTCATCCACGTCTTGCACCTGGTCTACATGACGAACTTCAGGGAAATGGGCTGTAACTCCGGTAAGTCTCCTCGGAGTTTTCCTTGATTCACCAAATGACCCCATTGAGAACATCCATTGGAGGCGCAGACTCCACCTCCAGAGGTTGACGCATCACTGCAGGTGACCTGTTCATGGAAAGGCAACCTAAAATCAAGACGCGCTCACGACCTTCATGATTTCTGCCCTGCAATGCAATGGCAACACACGGTGCGGCGGCCCGCCTTGGTTAAAGCTTTCAATGAACTGCCACACCCCATTGAGACACCCCAGAAGCGGCCTACGGAACATCGAGAAGTACACAAGACCTCCGCAAACTACTTGTAGTTGCTTTTGAGTGACCAGTGGGTCCTCCATCAGGGAGAGTGCTGCCGCAACATACTTCAGCAGCTTCCCCTCCCGTGGGTAGGCAACCCCTTCCACGCCGTCCACTTGAGCACCTTGAACCTCGGCATGTAGTTGACGGGAGACACTCTTCTTCATGTTGCGGAGTACTTCCCAGATTTCATATTCACTTCTCAGCGCTAGGATCGAGGGAGCTAGACTGCCTTCTAAACTCCCGACTCCAAGGGCCTGGACTCTCTCCAAGAGATCGTAGTTGTCAAGGTAGATCCGCCAAGAAGGATTGTAGGAGGTGAGAGAGCGGTCCTTCCTGATCTCAGCTTCAGGAGGGTTGATTTGCTCAGCAGGTGTCCCATGGGCCCCACTCCACAGTGCCAGATTCCGATGCACGTGTTGTGCAAGGGACACTGAGTTAAAAATCCCATAGGTAATACCGGCGAGCATAGGTAAACCTCCCGACCTTTGAGGGATTCAGGGAGACACTCATCGGGCACCTCTTTGTTGAAGGCTAGGTACTTGTGCCATGCTGGCGGAACTGAGATCGTATAGAAAAAACAGCGCACATCTTCGCTACTAACTAACAGGTTCTCCCCAGGCTGCAAAAAATAGGGGTTCATCAACGCCCAGGAGGGCAAAGTTTCAACGTCTCCTCGGAGTGGGTGTGAGATACTGTTTAACGGCACCAAATTCATGATAAGCCGAAAAACCTCAATCCCATCCACCCACTCGTCCTTTGAAACTCCAAATAACCCGTTAAGTAGCGGCCCTCGGCCTGTATCGAAAATATCCTCAACTGGCAAAAAGACGCACACACCAGCTTGCACTAGTCCGGTACAGACATCACCCCACTGATCGTCAGGTACCATTACACGAGGCGATTTAGGGATATCCCATTCAGATGGATCTTTGATAAATGAATCAAAATCTTCCACGTAATGCTGGGCCCCCAGTGTGCACACTTGCTCCAGTGGGACCCTCCCGATCTCCTCGGGGAGGGCCGGTGCAATGTTTTTCCATTCAAAATACTTCGCGGTTTTGACTTCATCTCCTTTATAGTCCACTCCACGTGTACTGAAAAAGCTAGGCCAGGAAAAACTTTCCAATACACCATCCATACCTCTGAAACGCTCAACATCCCTACAAAGCAGTGTCAAACAATCAACTGTCACGGCATTGACCTCTCCCTCATAAAACAGGTCGCCACCCCATAATGAGTTCAAGGACATACAAATAGCCTGTAACCAGCCCAAAGAAGATGCATCTAATTGGGGAAATAGTGCGCTCAGACGGCATTCAGAAGTGGGTAGGGGGAACAAATCAGCAACAGCTCTCCTACCCGTGGACGTGCTGCGGAGTGACAACACTTCCAAAAGTCGCTGGTGTACCCTTGACCCCAACTCATGCAACCTCTTGCCTACCAAATCACCAATGCCACTCTTTTTGCACTCGCTAAAAGTCGCTGGTGCACCCACTGTGGAATGGTCTTCGCCACCCAAGCTTTCATGCGCAAGAAAAGCCGATGTGTCACCGGCTACAGCTCCTCCCGAAATGTGACGGCGAGGATCTGGAGGAAAAAACCGGAGGTTTTTCAGGTACGGTGTAAAAAACCGACCATCCTCCGTACTCTCATGATGGCCTGGGCAATTTAAAAGTGCCCGGTCACCTTGGGTGATACCTCTGGCTCCTGTCATAGCCTCAGGAGCCCCCTTCTCGCAACCCGGCACCCTCCTGTTGTCCTCAAGATCAGGAGAGCGCCCTACTTCTTGTCTTTGCTCTTGCCCTTGCCTTTCTGCTCCTCCTTCTTGTCGTCCTTTTTCCACGTCTCTCGATCGCCCTTCTGGCTCTTGGACTTGCCTCTTCCGTCGGCCTTGCCTCCACTCGAGACCTGAGCTTGCCACCGCGTCTTGGCCTCGTCGTACTCGTCCTTTCTGGCATTCTGCAACTCTCCCCTCGCCACCAGCCTTCGGTCTCCACAGGGGGAATTTCCAGGCGCTGGGCGATCGACCAATGGGTTCCGTGGCACGCACTCTCCTGGGCCTTTAACCGCTGAGACAAGATGTCTGCAGCAGTCACCACCCGACCCCTGACCAGGTGGTCCAGCGCCATCGAGATGTTCAACATCTCTCGTGCCTGGGGACCACTGGCTCGGCGGGAGAGCACGCTCCTGAAGTAAAGGAGGGCCACTGGCCGCAGTGATCCCTCTTCGAGCTCTTCTCCCGAAGTGGTCAGCAGCGACCTCTTCATAGCTCCCATTGCTTCGACTGTCAATGCTCCTGGGAACCTCTCTGCCACTCCTCTGATCTTTGTTTCTTCTGCGAAGACTGCCAACTGTCCCTTGTAGTCCTCTTCCTCGGTGCTCGAAGATGAACCGCTGCTGTTTGATGACCCGCTGTCGCTTTTCTGCCTCTTCCGGGACGCAAACTTCTGCGCCTTGGATGCCACCCGTCGGCGGACCCTCTCTCTCGGGTCCAAACCGGTACCGCCGAAGACGGCCTTGAGACCCTTCTGAACAGCAACGGTCGGCCTCTTCCCATCCTCCACTTCTTTCTCCTTCTTCCGGTTTTTCTTCTTTTTCTTTTTCTTCTTTACTTCTCCTGACTCCTCTTCCTTGTCTTGTGGGGATGCTCGCTTTTCTTTCTCTGCCCCGGGAGGGTCCCCCAGTTCCCCTCCCCGACCGGCTAGGAGAGCAGCCCTGTGCCGCAACTCCTGGTTCTCGTCCTCCTCTTCTGGTGCGGCTCCTGCGACTAAGTTTGTCACCCAGCCTTCTTCGTCTGCGGCCATGCGGCGCCGGCCCCTCACTGCATGCACCCTGAACTCGCCCACATCCATCTTGTTGCATCCTGCTCCGCATAGGTAGCACAGAAACTGTTGCTGTGGGTGAGCAGAACTGGTCTTCAGGAGCCCTTCGTGATCTGTCCCTGTCACTTTCAGCTTCACGTTGACCTCGCCGCCCTCCATCTCCAGCTTGGTGACTTCTCCTGCGATCTTCATCTTCCCCCCATAGTAGTACCCCTCGGTGATGACCAAGGAGCAGCCCGGTCCCAGGTCTCCAGGAGGTATAGTTGCAAGGGCTACCTCCTGCCCAAGATCCCAGGGAGGCACCCCGCCTCCCGCTGCTGGCCTCCTGACTCCTCTGACGCGCACCCTTGCTGCTGGCCGATGCAAGGGGAGGGCGTTGGCCTTGGCCCCCGCTTTCGCTTTCGGTGGCATCCTTACCACCCTCGACGGCCACTCCCAGAGGCCCTAGAACTCCTCCAGTTCTTTCCTCTGTCTCTCCTCTTCTGACCTTTGTTGTTCTTCTTTTTCTTTTTGGGTCCATCACATGAATCACCTCTCCTCTTCTTTTGACCTTCACTTCAAGCTGGCGCATCTTGTGATCTCGATGCGTTCCCCAGAGTCTTGGAGAGCGGCGGAAGCCATAGACGGCCTTGAGTGGAAGGAAAACAGTGCTGGGAGCCAGATACTTTTTCTCAACCAAGATGAAGGGTGGTTTCACCAGCAGGAGGTTCTCCTCATCTTTGACCTCCATGTCGGCATTGAGAAATGCCGTTCGCACATCAATCACCCAACCTCTCCATTGAAACTTCCCAGACGCCCAGATCAAAACTCTGAACGCCGTGGCATCTGCCCCTCCAGAGTAGTTCTCTTCACCCTCCTTCTTCTCTTCAAAGTTTCCGCATACCACCCATCTTGTCTTTTTCTTTCCGCCCTTCTCTCCAGGCTTCAGAGTATACACCATCTTTGATGGGAGATATTCAATCTTTCTCCCTTCTTCGATCGCCTTCTTTCTCAAACTTTCATGCTCCTCCTCGCTGAGCTGCTTCAGCGCCTTCTTCTCATCAGTGAGAGCTTGAACCTCACTGTCCACAGACTCCAACCATTCAGACCATCTCCTTGCAACCTCCTTGGGAGAGATGATTTTGGTTTGAAGAACCTGCTCCTCATCTTCTGTTGGCATCGCCATCTTCCTCAGCTTGGCGACAACCTGAACGATGTCTGCCGCAAACTGCGGTTCTGTCTCCAGGATGTCTTTCATCTCCTGGTCGATGACTTCTCTTATATTCTTCAACTCCTCCTCTCTTCTTTTCTTTGTCTCCTCCTCTGGTTCAGATTGAAGAGAGCCATGAATTCTCCTCACTGCTGTCTTTCCTCTCAGCCTCCTTCTCACAGACCAAGCATTGGAAATGTTGCCCTCCAGAGCAACCCACACTGCATCATCGATGGGTTCAACAGTCTGTTGGAGGACGTACTTTGTGACTCGTGGCGCTTCTCCTTCTTTCTGAATCCAGTGGCCATGATCTTCTGTGGATGGACACAAGTATCTGACCTTCTCAACTGCCGCTTCAAACGCTCCTCTCCTCCAGGTGCGTTTCTTGACTCTCACTTCTTGGAAGAACTGCGGCCAGTTTGGGGTGATGTCTTTTCTGATGCACCTGTTGATCTCATCCACATGTCTCAGCGCCCATGGCCAGTATGAGGAGTCCAAATTGGCCTGCCTCAGTGCTCTCCTCACTTGAGTCTTGAGAGCCTTGACCGTGACCTCTGCACGGCCATTTCCTTGTGGGTCATCCCCTGCCGTTTTTGTGATGTATATGCCTCTGCTTCGGGCCCATTTTCTGAAGGCCCCGTCAAACTCGTGGCCACGATCACAGTGAATGCGGCCCACGTGATAGCCGTCGGCTCTCAACCTCAAGATGAACTCCGTGGCCGTCGCACTGACTTCTCTGGAAGTCTTTGTGACCATCGGCAAGGCCATACGGAACACTCGAAGTTCCGTTGTTTCTTCCAAACTTTCTTCTTTTGGCGGGCCTGGGAGGCGGACCAGACATCCTTCGTCCGACCCCTGCTCACCTGGCACTCCGCCTGGTGGGGCTTGTGGTGCCTCTCCACCTTGCCCAGCGGGGAGGCGGACCAGATCTCCTCCATCCGACCCCATCTCACCCGCGGGCACTCCCCTAGGTGGGCCTGGGAGGCGGACCGGATCTCCTCCATCCGACCTGGCCGCGAAGCGGACCAGATCATCGTGATCCGACCCCAACTCAACCGGCGGCATAGGGGGCAAAATTCCGAGTTGATCTTCTCCATCCTCAACTTCTTCTTCTCTGTCTTCTATCCTTGGTTCATCTCCTTCAAGTGGCTGAGTTGGTGGCTGTTGCAGCCTGTTCGTCCCTTTCGGAACCCTCCATGTCAAAGCACCTGCAAGAAAGTATCGAGCCATCCCGCCTCCTTGATCGTATGCACCAATCAGAGGGCCTGCTGTGTCTAAGCTCAAGACCCCTCCGATGACATGCTTGGACTTTCTGTGTGGTGCACACTGTTGGAGTGTCTCCTGGCATATCTTGCAGTCTCTCCGGTATGGGATGTGGCCAAAAGCCAAATGCTCTTGCCACGACATTGGTTTCAGCTTCGGGGTCACTTGATAGACCTGCTTAATCAGTTCATCGGCCAACATCATCATCAGCATAGGTGGCCAACGTGCTAGTTCTTTGGAGCTGTTGACTCGGGAAGGATGTCTTTTGGAAGTGATCTTGTAGTCCTCCACATTGAGTTGAAGAGATCCCCCAAATGTGGTTGGCTTTGCAGACTTCCCACCCAACTTGCCTTGTTCAAACGTCTCCTCAGTGAAGGAAAACTCTTCTTTCAGCCTCCTCCATTCTTCAGTATCCCAGAAGCTCACCACTTCTGGCATGTATTGCTTGGGGGATGCCGGCTGTTCCAGACTGAACAGCGGGTCTTGAAGTTCTCCTCTTGCCCTGGCAGCAAATGTGGCTACCATGTAGATGAAGATCATTCGCCACAGCAGCAAGTCATCCTCTATGACCTGTTGGCGCTCTTGATGGGTCAAGTGCTTGGACCCAAACTCTCCTCCTCCCCAGTTCCTCACTGGCCTGGGAGCTTGTGGATTCCCTTCAATGGGATAGTGGCGCAAGACGCTCCTCGTCCTGCAGTTTGGACCTCCCACTACCGCCTTGATTCTTCCTTCCAAAGCCGCTCGCATCAGTCCTCCATAGACCTTTGGCTTCAGAAGATCTTGATCTTCTCCTCTGACCACATCCATCTCCAACAGCTGCCATTCTTGACCTCCAGCTTGCTGCCATGCTCGTTGTAGTGTGCATCCTTCATTTGGGCCTGCAAACAGGTGAAGGATGAATCCATCTCTCTGCATCCTCTTCCTCGCTCTTCTATTCGCAGGAAGCTGATTCCATTCTCCAACCTCACAAAGCAATCCCTCCCTGATCCAACCGGGAAGAGACTTCAGCAGCGGGTGTTCAGCCACCAGCTTTCTCATCCACTCTGCTTCTCGTGAAAAATCTTCAGCCTTCTCACCTATCTTCAACTTCTTTCTTTCAATCTCCTCAATCAGTTGCAGCGCAAGTTGTTTGGAAATCTGAGGACAGCCTTCAGCTTGTTGAACTGGAAGACTGCCAAGACCTGGATGGATGATTGACAGTTCACCTGCTTTCCAAACTGCTTCACATCCAAGATCTTTCATCAGCGCACTCATAGGGACAATTGGCTCGATGTCCGCCTCCTCACTGACCATCGTTCCTCCAGCATTGATGGCCAAGAGGGCAGTCTGGCCGTCTGCTAGTGAAACTTCAACCTTCTTGTACTGGGAGATGTCTTCGCCCAGCTTTTTGGGGCGCAGTGCATGTGTCGCACCGCTGTCGATCAGGCCTTGACAATGACCTGATGAGATCTTCTGAATCTTCAGTTCAGCTGCTTCTGCAGCCGATCCATCGTCTCCTGCTTGCTTTCTTCAACGCTGGATGCTGAAGAAGACACTGTTGTTGCCTGAGAGCTGCTCGAAGCTGTCAAACTCTTCAGCATCTTGTTCGCCTCCTCCATCAGATCTTTGATCGCCGATTCAGAGCTCGGCGCTGTCGGAGCATCTGACTCCTTCTGATTTCCTCCTTGTTCAGCCTCAGACTTCAAGGCTCTGGCCTTTGGTGGGCTGTTCTCAGAAGAGCCCTTTGGACGTGTGCATGCAGGGGCAAAATGGTCGACTGACCCACAGACCCAGCACCTCCTCTTGTCATCTCGTCCTTCATGAGAAAAACCACATAGCTTCCCCTTTTTGCAGCCTCCATCAGAAAAGAAGAAACGACATCGTGGCTTCCCTCCTCCATCTTCTGCTGAGCGTTCTTGTCCCTTTCCCTTCCCTTTTTCTGGCTTCTCTACCTCCATTGCCTTCAGCTTGGGGACATCCTGTTTTGACGTCTGTCCTCCAGTGCGCTTCTCAGTCAGCGCCACTTGCTCTATCTCTGCCAAGAGGTGTGTGGCGAATCTGGTGACTGACAACTCAGTCGGAGTTGTGTCTACTCCCAGACTCGACCTGGCAAGCTGAATCCTGAATTGTAAATCACGGTGACCATCCAGGACCCTTTTGGTGAGTCTGTTCAAGCCCTTGAGCAAGAGTGCAGCATCAGGAATCACTGCACCAATTTCAGCAGTCCTGGCTTTCCACCTCATCCATCGTCTCAAGGCGGCAGGAGCATCTCCGATGCTAGTGACTTCTGGTGGATCTTCAAGACTGCGCAACAACATTTGTTTTTCCAGCACACCACCCGGGCAGTAAGTGAGAAAAAGATGTGCTAAGATGCTGAAAACTGACATCTTTCGTCCAGCCACCAGTTCCTCACGGACATTCTCCGGAACTGAGTGCAAGAGCATTGTTGACATCCTCCTCTCCAAACGTTGCCATCTTTCCTGTTGCAAGCTCGCAGGTGGTGTCGCGTCATGGGTGATCCTGTCAAGTGGATTCAGAGACATGTGCCGCTGGTACCATGATTCCACGGCTTTCACCATAGTGGTCCACCATTCTTCACTGGTTGAAGTCATATCGGCAGCTATGGGTTCCACCATCAACAACCAATCTCCAAGCTGCAGTGGACCCTGTGACGGATTACATGGTGGTAGGCCAGGAAGATCTAGCACCCCAGACCTGACAACTTCTACGCCTCTGATTGAACCACCTTCGTCTCTTTGTTCTGAAACCTTTTTCTGCATCTCTTTCATCGACTCTACCATCAAACTTATGAACTCCAACGACTTCTGAGTGAACTGAGAGCCGGGACCAGTGTCAGCCTGTCCCGCATCAGCTCCTCGATGGTGACTTTCTTCCTTCGATGTCTTTGGCGGCGGATCTGCAGCCTCCTTAGTCCTCCAAGGAAGGACTTCCTCTTCTTTTGGGCTTCTCAGGGGATCTGCAGCCTCCTTTTGGGGGTCTGCGGCCTCCTTTTGAGCAGGCACTTCAATGCCTGCACCATTCTTCGAATTGGCAGCCTCTTGCGCCTGTCCAACATCATCCTCAGGAGTCGAGAACTTCGGCTCTCCTCCCTCTGTTGACATGCGGAGAGACTGAATGGTGGCCTTGAGAGCTACATTTTCTTTGGAAATCTGATTCACCAGCATTCGAAGTTCTTCTCTTTCTCTCTGATCACGCAACTGTTGTTCTCTCAATTCTTCCAACCACCTATCTCTTTCTGTGGATTCTCTTGCAAATCTACTCTCCTCTTGATTCAAAAAAGCAGGACGTGAAGCAAAAGGAGTGAAGACTGATTGAGGCGGTGCATACAACCAGGAGGCTTGATTTTGAAGAGCTGCCATTTGTTGAAACTGCTCTGGTGTGAACAACGGTGCGGCTGACATGGAAACTTCAGCCCCACTTGGCACTCCTAACCCACCTCCCTGTGACCTGACGCTGGCCTCTTCTCTTTTGACATCAGTAACCGGCACCTCTCGAGACCCAACAGCCTCTTTTGTTGCCGAACTCGATGTCCCTTCTTGCTTTTCTTTTCCCTTAGTGGTGCCAGCTGGTGTCCTCAGTCCAGGTGATGCAAACTCCTGCGGAGTCATCCTTGGTGGATCAGTTGGCGGTGGTGTCATTGGCCCTGCAGTCTCTAGCCCTGAAGTGGCACCTGGTGGACCATTTGAAGTTGGATTTCCTTCGGAATCAACTTTGGTCTCATCAGCTATTGGGGGTGCACTTACTACTCCTGAACCTTCTTGACTACCTTCAGCCTTGACATCTTCTATTGGCATCTCTCCTCTCGTTTCTGCCTCTTTCTTCATCCTCTCTTCTGCTAACTTCATCTCACGTTGTCCCTGCTCTATCTCTTTGGTTGTTGCCCTTCTTCTTTGTATATTCATCGCCCAGTGGTGGTTACCTTTGGGCTCATAACCTACTCCCGTAGGGATGTAGGTATGAGGATTCCAGCCCTTATGATGTTACACTTCTCGATTTGTGCACCACCAAGTCGCTCGTCCCCACACCTCCTTTCTTCTGCCAAGTTGCGGTTTGAGCTGTAAAAAGGGCAGCTGTGAATACAGCCAGGATTGAATTTGAAATGTCACATGTGTATGGTGACATGTACTGAAAAAACAAATTAAGGACCAGCAAGCAGAATCACCAAAAAAACAACCGGACAGGAAGAATCACCAGAAAAACAAACAAATAAATCAAAACCTTGATTGTTCTCAATTTGTGTTTTTTGTTTTTTGTTTTTATTTGGGTTTTTGCTTGATTTTGGTTTTCTAATTTGTTTTTTTCTGTTTGCTCTGGTTTTGGCTTTTGTCTTTAATTTCTTGGAAAAAAAAACTATATTCTCTGTGCTGTTGGACTGATAAAGATTAACCCAGCTTTGCAACCCAACAGCATACCTGAATCTTCCACCTACGTCTTTTTTCAGACCCTGTGCCAAAGTCCTGTTTTTTCAGTACCCAGAAAACTTTTCAGGACCTACTCTCAAATTCGGGACCTGGCCATTTTGGGGTATCAATGGTAATGGCAATCATTGGGTGCAAACATGTGAAACCAACATTTGGTGGATATTCAAGCCATTGGCATTGATCCACGCAAATAAAAGCACTCCCAGCCCAAACTCATGGCAAGGCAGGATCAGAATATAGTATATTCCAGAAAGTATGTCAGAATAGATGCCAGATAGGATGCCAGAAAGAATGTCAAATAGAATCTCAGAAAAGAATGTAAGATAGTATGTCAGAACATATATGCCACATATACGTCCAGATGATATGTCAGAAACTATGTCAGAATAGTGTGTCAGGGTGGGGATCACTCTTAGTAAGGCAATTTTGAAAATATATTTCAGGTTCGGAATTTTCAAACTGTTGTCCTTCAGGCGCCGAAGCTCCCGTTGAAGGTCAGCATCGCCCCATGTCAACTGGTCCAGTCCCACTTCCATTTCAACAAGTCCAACTTCATCGATTAGGGTGTTGGTTGAATGGACTTGGGACTCTAGCTGGCACGGCATCCCTTGTAACCCTGTAGACACTGTAGTGGGCAAAAAGATTGTAACACACAGAATCAGCATCATTTTGATCAGGCATTCTTTTTGCTAATCCTTTCTCCCTATTACGAAAAATACCCCCAAATGACAAAAACTAGGTGCGATTTCCAATTTTGGGAAATGTCAAATTGGTTAATCTGATTTTTAATTGATCCCCTTGAGGAAACAATTTTAAAAATGAAGGTACCATGTGAGGGTTTCACCCCCAAAGAATAAAAAACTAGTCAACACCGGGGTGTCTTTATTGGGGTCCGTCCTTTAAAATCGTCAATTTTAGTTTTTTTAATTCAGGTGTTGGTGTTTTATTTGGTACTAGGCGAAAGCTTCGAAATCCTATTCTTGGCAGTATTCTATTTAAAGATTATTTTCATGGATTTTGAAATTAGAAACAAAAAACGGTTTAATTCCTTCCCCCTGTTGCTAAACAGTCGCCCCTTCACCCACCCACCCAAATAACAAACACCTGGAGGAGTTTTTAGTATTGGGGGGGTCTTTAGTATTAGGGCACGAAGCTTCCCCCTAATATTGATAAAAAAACACACACACACACATATATATATATATATACACATATTTCTATTTCAACATCGATCAGATTTCTTTCTTTTAAATCCAATAAAAATATGGCAAACAAGTGGATTCCGAAGCTTAATATCAAATAAAAACCCCCAAAACAAAAATTTATGTATGTTTTTCTATTTCGAAATCGATTAGATTTCTTTTTAAAAATTAAATAAAATATGGCCAAAAAATTGGATGTCGAAGCTTTTCTCTTATATTAAACCCTAATATCATTTTGTTTTTTTTCTTGTTTCAAAATCGATTAGATTTCCTTTTGAAATCTAATGAAAAAAAACAAAAAATTGATTTTGAAGCTTTCCCCTAATATCAAATTAAAATCCAATTATTAAAATATGTTCAAAAATTGGATTTCGATGCTTCCCTTAATCTTGCATGAAAAATTCCAATATAAAAAACTAAACTTGTTCTATTTCAGAATCGATTAGATTTCCTTGTAAATTCAAATGAAGATATTGCCCGAAATTGGATTTCGAAGCTTTCCCCTCATATTAAACCCTCATATCAAAGACTATTTTTTCTATATCAAAATTCATTAGATTTCCTTTTGAAATCTAATTAGAATATGGTCAAAAATTGGATTTTAAAGTTTTCCCCTAATATTACATTAAAAAACCCTAATATAAAATATTATTTTTTCTTTTTTGAAATCGATTCGATTTCCTTTTAAATTATAGTAACAAAAATAAAAACAAAAACCGGATTTCGAAATGTTTTCTCTAATATTAAATTATCAGCCCTAATATATTTAAAAAAAATATATTTCAAAATCGATTAGTTTTCTGTTTAACATATAATTAAGATATTGCTAAAAATTGGATTTCGAAGTTTTCCCCTAAAATTAAATTAAAAACACTAATCAAAAAACTATGTTTTTTCGATTTCAAGAATCGATTAAATTTCCTTTTGATATCCAGTAAAAATATTGCCAGGAAATGCCAAAAAGTGGATTTCGAAGTTTTCCCCCAATATTATATAAACGTTGTAATATAAAATACTTATTTTTTCGACCTTAAAAAACCCTAGTTTAAAAAATCACCGGGGCTGACTAGTTTTTATTTTTTGGTGGTGAAATCCTGAAATGGGACCTTCATGTTTAATTTGTTTTTGAAAAGGTATCAATTAAAAGTCAAACTGGCCAGTCTGAAATTTCCCAAAATTTAACGCGGACCCTAGTAAAAGGAATCAATGTAATATTTTAGTATTTGGGGTACGTTTAGTAAAAGGAGGTGGGGATTAGTAAGGTTTTCAATTTAATATAAGGGGAAGCTTCGAAATCCAATTTGGCAAGATTTGAGTTAGATTTTGAATAGGAATTCAATCGGTTTTGAAATATAAAGTTCATTTTTTTAAACGAATGTTTTCAATTTAATGTCAGGGGGAAGCTTCGGAATCCAATTTTGGCAATATTTTAGTTAGATGTTATTTAAAAAATGTTTTCCAATTTAGTTTTTTTAACCAAGGGGGAAGTTTCGCACCCTCATACTAAATACCCACTAAATACAAAAAACTATTCCGTGTGTTCATTATTGGGTGGGGAGGGGCAAACGGTTTATTATGACGCAGGGATTGGTCAGGCATCACTTGCTGGAATTATTGGATTCTTTTGGGATGATTGGTATGATGTTTAGTCAGGCATGGTTCCCTTCAGTCATGCACGATTTTTGCAAAAATCCTATTTAGGCACGACCCCAAAATCCCAGCCCGGCAAATTCCGGCCCGGGCCCGGCAAATTCCGGCCCGCGCCCTGCAAATTTCGGCCCTGCGTTTTTCCAAAATCAGGCAAAACCAGTAAATCAGGTATTAAGTCAGGTGTAGTTACCTTTTAAGTCATTAAGGCTAGTCAGGCATGGTTCCAGTGGGTACCTTTTAATTGTGAAGGCTAGTCAGGCATGGTTCCCTGAATTCAGGGGCATGGGTACCTTATGAAGGCTAGTCAGGCATGGGTTCTGTTAAGTCAGGCGTGGGTGGGTACCTCTTAATTATGAAGGCTAGTCAGGCATGGTTCCCTTAAGTCGGGTATGGTTACGCTTTAAGTCATGAAGGCTAGTCAGGCATGGGTACCTTTTAAGTGATGAAATCTGAATCAGGCGGAGCTCCTATTCTAAATGTGTTAAATCCAATTGTTCAGTGTGGAAAATCGATTTTTTGGCTGGTCTACGGGCAAACCCTGTGTCTTCCAATACCATAGCGTGCTGATGTCGCTTGCCTGCATAATAGTTAAGGCCAAAGCTTAGGTCATCAGTGTGATCCTGAAATGGCGCCACGACCAAGAAGATGACATGTGTAAAATGGGCCCTGGATTAACAAAGGCTGACTAATGAATTTGGAGGATGCCACTAAAGTATGACATGTAATCACTTTTGAGGAGCACTCTATGGCACGCAGCGCGCGCAGCCTGCTTTACGGTTTAGCGTTTGAAAGTTTTAGGCTTTGCCTCTATGGCACGCAGCGTTTGAAAGTTTAACCGTTTACCTCTATGGCAGGCTGTGCGCGCAGTACGCGTTACGGTTTAAAGTTTGAAAGTTTTAGGGTTTATGTGTGTGGCACGCAGTGCGCGCAGCGCGCATTAGGGTTTAGGGTTTGGAAGTTTTATAGTTTATTTTATTGCATGCAGCGTGCACAGCGTGGGTTGAACTTTAGGGTTTCGAAGTTTTAGGGTTAACCTCCATGACACGATGGCTTAGGGTTTGGAGATTTTAAGGGGTACTTCTATGGCACACAGCGCGCGCAGCGCGCGTTAGGGTTTAGGGTTTAGGATTTGGAAATTTTAGGGTTTACCTCTATGACACGAGAGTTTCAGGTTTGAAGATTTTAGGGTTTATTTCTATTGCACAAAGCGCGCGCAGCGCGCATTAGTGTTTAGGGTTTGAAGGTTTTAGGGTTTATCTCTGGCACGCAGCGCGCACAGCACGCATTAGGGTTTAGGGTTTGGAAGTTTTAGGGTTTATTTTATTGCATGCAGCG